CCCCCCCCCCATTTGGCAGCTGCTCCGGGTCACCAGCCAGGGCCTCGGGCAAGCTGTGATCCCCTGGCATTCCGGCTCGCGATTTCGGGAGGGTGGACGCGGATGGAGGACACTGTAGTGTAGCCGTGCGCCTGGGGGCAGGAAGCGAGTCCCGGCGCCCTCATCCCTCCTGCCCGCCCGCCTGCCCGGCAAATCTCAGTTTGCACCGCTACCGGGCGCTGCCAAGGGAAGCGCAGTGAGAGCAGAGCGCTGCAAAGGCGCTGGAAGGGCGAGCCCCAGTCCTTGTGGGCGCCGCATTTCGGGGTGTCCAACATTCCGCCTCCGGGCCTCCCTTCCTGCCCTTCCAGAGCAGAGCTACCGGTGTCTCCACCGAGGTGCACGCACGCGGGATCCTCCTGCTGTAGTCTTGGCACCCGCTCAGGTGTGAGGCTGGGGAAGCGCTCAGAGGGGTGGTGGTGGGAGCCTGCAGGACCTCCCTGCGAGTGCACCGCCCGCACAGATGTTGCCCAGCCAAGGGCAGCAGCCCTCGCCTCATCCCGGAGGCGAAGGGTGGACTCCGAGGGATAGGGTGCCCGGCCCAGTTACGTATTTCACTCTTAAATGCCTCGGTGGCAGGCCAGGGAAATCACTGGAGCTCTGGCTCACTCCAGGAAGCGCTCGCTGGCTGACCCTGATTCACGATGACTATCTGGAGGTGAGCTAGGTAGTCCAACGCTTCTGAAATGACCTGTTGTGGGGGCCAGGACGCTGGGAGGATGGGAGGGGGAAGGTCACAGCCTGTGACCCATGCGAGGAGCTTCTGCTTCCAAAAGCGGCCTTTGTTGGACTTGGCAGAAGGTGACTGTGGCCCTCTTCACCTGATCAGTGAAAGAAGGACGTGTACTGCTAAGTCCTGACGGCGAGGATGGGGCTGCTTAGTACGGGACTGGACCTTGGTGACCCCCACCCCACTCCGAGGCAGGGCAGATCTCAGATGTTGCCGGTGGTGACCGAGTACACGTTACAGACTTAAACCTTTCCAGGTGCCTGCAGAAACCAGGCTCGCCAGTGTCCCAGAGTGCTCCAGCCACGGGCCTGCACCTTGCGTGTTTAATCGCTCTGCAGCAAGGAAGTGCTCCTCAATGTAGGAGTACCGTGACTATTGAAAAAGACCGGTTTAAAAGTAGAGTTAAAGAATCAGAAGAATACACTCGACGCTACTGCTAAAAGCCCAAGCGTGTCTCTCATTTGGTAGCTTACCACCACAGGAGAAAACGGCGTTGCCTTTTTGTTTTTGGTATGTGGCCAGAAAGCTCAGAGCCTGACAGGTGCTGCATACTTGGGCTCACAGGCAGCCAAGATCCTGGCATTCACTGGCCTATTGGAGAGCAGGCAATTGTACTTTTTCAGGTTCTTGAACTTGAAATTTTTCCGGAGAGATTTTTGGACATGGGAGGGGTGAAGGAGGATATGAGAACAGAATAATCTTACTGTTCGTGAAGGCAAGAGATTGGTCCCCAGTTTCCCTAATTGTGAGTAACCTTGACACACTCAGCTTTAAAAAGTGTATTGTGTTATAAATTATACGCATGAAAGCACACAGATCTAAAGTGTGCACCATGGATTTCGGCAAATGTGTTTTACTACATAGCTGTCACATAGGATGAGAGACAAAGCATCCTCTAGTTTGGGGCTGTTTTTCAAGTGTTAGTATATTTCAGGTTAAATGCGATGCAGTACAGAGCATCAGCTTTTCATATCAGGTTTAAGGAAGGAAAGAAAGTGGAGGCTCCTTTAGAAAGTAGAGCCCTTTTAACCCCTGAAGTCAGTTTGGTATTGTTCTTGATACTTTGCCAGTTATACCAAAGGAGGAACGTGGAAAACCCTAATAGCGCGTGCGTGGCTGTAGGGTCAGGCAGCCAGCATGCTGTGTGTGCATTATTGAAGTGGCCTATCTCCTTTCAGTTTTGGAGTTTGATTTCATGGAAAGGAGAGCTCCCCCTGTTTCCCCCAGGCTATATAAAAAAGGTATTTGTGTGACGAGGGAAATATAGAGACCTTCCCAGAAGTTCCTCTTGAAATGTAAATGCCTCCTCTGCCAGCCAGGGGAAGCCAAGGGTAGTAACAGATGGTTTTGCACGCAGTTACCCTGTGAACATTAAGATTCCTTGGCTAATATAGCAATAATGTAGTACTTGGTGTGAGCCCAGTTCCTTGGGGTTCTTATCTGGAGACAATTGCATCTCCGTCAGGGGGCCCATTGTATTGGCAACATCCTCATTGGTAGGGCTTTGTTTTTCCCTTTTGTTTAGTTGTTTGAATTTCCCACAAGCTTTTTTCTTTTATTTTGGAGTAGTCAGGAATTTCACCCTTTCTGAAAACGCTCCCTTGTGTGTAGCAGGTTAATAAACAAACTTTGCCACTTGTCTTTCTTTCTCAATCTCTGATTTTCCTTGAGTCAGGGGTTGGCAAGAAAATTTTCATTTGTAATAAAGGCTCAAGGAAAAAGCTCTAGGACATAAGTTCTTAGGGAGGAATTTCACAGCCTGCAGCCTTGGTAATTTGAGGAGTGTGTTACTGGGCAGGATATCCCACCCCCAACTTTGGCCTTTGCTGGCAAAGATGAAAGCTGTAGTGGCCATTGACCATGTGGGGACAACTAGGTAACACTTTCAGTGACTTTTTATAGCTGTAGGAGCAGGCTGTGACTTACTGTGGGCCTAAGGAGACTACTAAAGGAAACCGCAAATTTTAAGTATGATTGGCTATGAGCAGACAGGGGCGTGGTTAACTTCCTTCCACATTCCTTTGCTAGAAAGTTCTCCTAAGCAAGGGGCAGCAAAGTGCAGCACGGTGGCTAAGAGGTCCATCTTTGGAACTTAGCATCTTAGCTTTGAACCCTGGTTCTGAGTGACCTTGGGCAAGCTGCTTTTCCTGTCCTATGGCTCCAAGTATTTTATTTGAAAGATAGCCCTAGTTGTTAACAACAAAAATAATAAAGTGATATTGCTGAAAATATCTTTAAAACAGGACATTGATAAGAGCTCACCTACCTCACAGGAGTTCTGTGCAGATTTAGGATGCTATGTATTTAAAATGCCTGGAAAAGTGCCTAGTACTTAGGATGTACTGTATAAATGATGGTTAGTATTATTATTACCACTAATATTATTATACTATTGCTATTATTCTTACTACTATCAATATTACTACAACTGTTGTTCTTGTTGTTAATAACAACAAGGCCTAATTTTGAAATTCTTTAGAATCCTAAATTTCCAGGGTAGAAAAGGTAATCCAAGTATCAACACATTTATCCTATTGTTTCACCTCCCTCCCTCCCTCCCTCCCTGAGATGGAGCCCATGATTTATGTGTTCTACTACTGAGATATACCCCCAGTCTATCTCCTCCTATTAACTCTGGGTATTTGGACTAGAAGTAGATGCCACATATTACTGTAATTTACAGTAAAGTGATTCGGGGACCAGAGGGAAATCTGTAATATCTCCTCTTAAGACGATTCCACTAGTTCATCAAGGTTTAGGAAAGTTTCTTCCACTAGTATATTGGATGTTGAAGTTTATTATATAGTTTTCATTTCTAAGTTCCAAGCTCAGTGCCCAATGTCTTTTGTCTTGCAGGCAAACCAATATTAAATTATTGTATGAATAGTATCCAGATATTCATCTCAAATGTAGCAGTGTTTTGTTCACTGAAGATATGTCAAGTCCTGCTAGGAAAAGGAATAATTCCTCCTCTGACTTTCCTTCCTCCTTCTTCCTTTCTTTTCTGAGTTGCAGTGGTTAGTCCAACTTTCCTGGCTTCCCCTCCCCTCATTCTTTCCACCCATGACAAAAATCTTTGGTTATTCTAATCTGTGGTTCTTCTCTTCAGTGCCAAGCCCTTTCTCAAGGAGCAGATGTCCATTCAACGTGGTTGCAGTTGTGATTTGGAACAAGTTGCCAAGACTTTAGGGAGGGGCTGGAGATTTCAACCCAACTCAGCTTTACTCCTCATTTGGAGAAGTTCCTGGACTCCTTTAACTTTATTATTTTATTTTATTTTCTCATTGAGTTTATTGGTACTTTTTAGGTGTACAGTACAGTGACATTCATCATTGGGATCTTGTACCTTTACATGACAGGTCTTGGTTCTCCCCCTTACCCCTGCCCTCCCTTCACCCACTCCTCCCTTCCCCATTTACTAATACTTTATTTCCATTTTCTCATGTTTTCTTTTTCTTTTCCCTTATTACCTTTCCCCTACCCTTCCCACTTTTCCTACACCTTTAGCCCTTTTCTTCCTATTTCACATTGTCAATTATACCATTAGGAACTTATGTACCATTATAGTTTATCACACCAGAGAAGTTATTCAGTGTTTATATATGTGTGACTTATTATTTCACTTAGGAGTATATCCTCAATATGTATCCATTTTCCTATCCTTTAACTTTAACCATACTGTGCTCACAGGGCTTGGTGATGAATATAGTCTTATTTGTGACCTAATCTATATTGCACAGCAGTGGGAACTCGGGCTAGAAGGGTTCAGTTCATCGTTTTGGTTCATTTCCTCATGTCCATAGAGAATTTTTTAGTTTAATCTGATTCTGAAGGTTTAAAGCCCTGGGACTACCTTAACTCTGCAAGACTAAAAGACATTGCATTGCTTGGCAGTTGGGAAACTTTAAGAGTAGTCTTTGAGATAAACTAGAATTTGAAGGTCAGTAACACAGGACATGATGTATCAGTTATATACTCATTCTAACTCTCCACTTCCATAGGATGGAGTAAAAATTTTTTTTTTTTTGACAGAATCTCACTGTGTTACCCAGGCTGGCTTTAAATTTATGATCATCACACCTCAGCGCTGCTCCTGAGTTCTGGGCTTATAGGCGTGTGCCACAACACCCTCTTTACTCTCTGCAAAGTTACAACAGAGATTTAATTTTGCAAATGGTGCTCTAGCTCTGGGGAGGGGGGAGATGAGGAAGAGGAAGAAAAACCTTTCTGGCTAGATCAAGAAAGTAGTGATCTGAATAGATATGTAAATTAGAGCACTCTACCTCTTTCTCAGTAGGACGCTGAAATAGTCTGGCTTGTTTGTAGACAGGCGCTGCTGTGACACAGTGCTGTCACAGGGTAGGACAACAGTGAAGTCCCACAGATCTGGGGAGAGATGAAGCAGAATGGGGGGTGGAGCTGGCCCTTCTTGCCCCAGAATCTCCCTGGAAACCAGTTGCATCAAGCGAGCTCTAAATGGGCAGAGTGAACACTGGCCACTAAGAAGGATGGGTGTTGTGTGTTCCCAGCCGCTGAGCTCTGGCCCTGCACTCATTGATGGATGACAATGGGGCCGTGATGCTCACATCTGGCCTTGATTCTCCGAGTGACAGTCAGTGCAAGGTGGAACGAGGCAACTCTAGGAGGATGAAAAATTGGCCTGGCAGCTTCTCTTTTTGCTGTAGACCATTCTGATACCCAGAAATGTTATGGACTGGATAACGTAGCAATGATAATAATGATAATGGTGGTGCTGCTGAGTACTTACTGTGTATCAGCATTGGATGGAGTCTGCACATACATTATTCCTCATAAGCAAGCACTGTCATGTGGATGCGGGGATGGAGACTCTGAGAGATTTAGCATCTTGCCCAAGGTTACAAGTAAATGTCAGAGCAAAATTTGCGGTTGAGAAAATCGAGGCTTCT